GGCCACCAGCTTTTAATAGGTCCAAGGAAGTCCACTCTACCCGTGTCGGTGTCTGTTGGGGTGGGCCAAAAGAGAGCGGGAAGAGAAGTGGAAGGAATGCCTGATGTTTATAAGGTTGGACGTTTGGCTAGATTAAAACTCATGTTCTTCTAAGTTCTCATCCTTCAGTCTTCTCCGTGGCCTACAAGAGCCTACAAGTCCCTGCCAAGTGTATTCTTGGAGACAAGCCACCCTCTTCTTGGCGATGGAGATGGATGGACCTTGGGAACAAGGGCCTTCTGACTCCATCAATTGAGGTCCCGATTTGTCATCTTCACCCTTAGCTTTGGACCTGATCCCTTCATCAGTCATACACTTCACAACAGCACTTGTAAACTTCTACTTTTCTGAAGCTTCCTCCAAAACCAGCTTATTCTAGTCGTTTTGTGGGAACTATTCCGATCATTCCTCCCTTTCAGGGTCTTCAATCTGCTGATTTGTCCACTTACCTCCTGCAGAGAAGAAATCATCTACCCTGAGAACCAGGCTATGTCAACTCCAGAGGTTTTCCAACCCATCTTCTAAGACTGAGCAGTTTGGGGGTGTTGTTTTTTGTTCTTTGAAGATCTTCCCCTTGGGTCTTCAGGGCAAGTGTGGTTGTGGTTGTGTGAACGCAGCTGTGCGTGTGGGGCAAGGGGGGTCCAAGCCAATGCTGGATTCTGAGCCACATTTCTAGACTGCCTGGACTATTCGTGTCAAGCTGGAGATTTCAAGGTGTAGCCAGTAAAGAGGAGCTTAGAGAGGGTTTGGAGCCCCGCCCCCTTTTTGCTCTGCCCCGCCCCCTTCCCCTGAGCCATTCTGTCTGGATAGAAGGCCTCCAATATCAAAAGATTGGATTAAGAAGGCCAGTTTGCAGTGGCGGTATTCAAATAAAGTTGCCGCCGGTTCGGTGGGCGTGGCTTGGTGGTCGCGCTTTGCATGCATGCACACTTTGCGTGCACACGCGCACCAAACACGCACTTTGCACAGGCTCAGTCTAACTTGCCTCCTGCAAGCCTGCATGATGCTGGTCTCTGCAGCAGCTCCCACACAAAGCAGCTGCGCTTTGAATTCTGGCCATAAAAGTGAGTACGGGAGCCCAGGCGGGCAGATGGGCCAAACACAGAGCAGCGAGGAGGACCGGTTCGGTCTCCCCCGCTCATCGCCACTACCGGCTCTCCAGAACCAGGCAGAACCAGTCGAATACCACCACTGCCAGTTCGGTGTAGTGGTTAAAGTGGTGGCCTAAAACCAGGAGGCGGTGAGTTCTAGTCCTGCCTTAGCAGGTGACTTTGGTCCAACAGTTGAACTATTGATTACAGATATTGATTATAAAAATATTCATTAATGTTTTGGGCATTTGTAGAACTGATATTATGATGCATTTATGACTTACATATTTTCTTTCGCTTGAGAAACTGAGATATTCTACACTGTTGCTATTATCTGATTGTTCTGAATGCATATCTTTCCTATTTTTAGCTTCGTATCTTCTTTTTTGTGAAACAAAAACAAAACATATCCTTTATTGTATCCCTATTGAAGACAGTTGAAAGTAACTTATTTTTTTTGAATGTTGTCTTTGGTGTTTTGCTTTTCCATCGCTTTAGAACATTCTCCCTGTTGTTCCTTATCCCCTTGAGTTATAATCCTCTTTTAATTTAATTTTATTTTTTGAAACTGAATCACATTCTTAAAAATAAACACAACTGTTTCCTGGGCCTTATGCTAGCTTCTTTCCTCTCCACTCCGGTGGAGATATGAAAAACACCAAGTTAGCCCCAGCAGATGCTGCATTGGGGAAGCAGGTGGCGTGCGAAAGAGTGGAGGGGGGGAAAAAATGCTAGGATTTACATCCTGGAAACTGACCAGCCGAGTATTTTGTTCCTCAAAAGCAACCTTCAATAGCTCCGTTTTCCTTGCAGGAAACGGCGGCTGCCAGCGACTCTCCCCGCTACAGATGGCCGGTGAACATCGTGAGCGATGAAGTTCTAGCAAACTTTATTACCGTTTGCGTCGAATCTGCAACAAGGACAAACGGGCAGAAATCTTGGATTCCCCGTCTCCTTCCCTCCCTCCCTCCCTCTCATTGGGCCTCCCAGCGTGACTTCGGGAGGGAATATTTACAGCTGAATGTTGAACTGTCCCTGGTGGCCTCTGAGCTGGGTGGTTTTCTCGCAGACGTTTCATGGCCCAACTAGGTAGCGTCATCAGTGCTAGAAGGGAGAGGAGGAGGAGGAGGACTCCGGGGTCCTTGGTGCTGAGCTTTCCCGGAGAGGCTCAGAGGTCTTAGCAATGCAAAAACCCTTTTATTAGAGTCAAACGCCCATTATCCACCGAGTTCCAGTTGATGGGACTTCCGGTTGAGCTCTGTTTCAGAAGCCTGGATCTTTTTTTTGTAATGGAAAGTTGATTTTTTTTAAAAAAAAAAAAATCTGTGGATCCAGACAATCGTTGGAGACCCCGGAGCTGCTTCGCACACCAAGACGAGGGGCGCAGAGCTCCCTTCTCAATGTCACAGGAGATCCGGCTGGTGTAACGTCTTTATTTAGAGAAATAAATCACTCTCCATGTTTTTCTTTCCCTCCTAACTGCCCGAGGCAGCTTACAAAAATTAAAAGCAACAATTCCATCAATAAAGGAGCTTAGAAACATTTGGGAGGGAAGCGGGGGAGAGACGGGAGGGACCCCGGCCTCTGAAATCAATAACATCGATTTTAAATTTAAATAGATTTAAAAACACGAGAAGGGACACCACCCACCGTGTTAAAAATGGAGGGAGGAGGGAGGCAGACGGACTCGTTTAGTGCTGACAACGTTGAGGTCGCCAAGTCCTCCGTGCCCAGCCCCGGGTCTCCCTGGGAAAAGGAGGCTTTGGGGTCTTCCTTTACCAAAACTTCTTCTTTAAAAAGAAAAAAAGATTTTTAATAAAACGTTTCAGATTCTGTCCCCAGGCGAGCAGATACATTTCTGAAATGGAGCGTCCACATTTCGATCTGCTGAAAAATTCCTCGTCTTCCTTGATTCCCGCAGAAGAACAACTCTGCCTTAATCCTGGTTTGAACTTTTCTTGGCGACCCTGGTTTAACAGATTAACAGAGTTGAAAGGGACCTTGTGGGTCATCTAGCCCAACCCCCCCCCACCCAAGCAGGAGACCCCACACCCTTTCTGACAGATGGCCGTCCAGTCCAGCCTCTTCTCGAAAGCCTCCAGGGATGGTGAAGCTCCCACAACTTCTGAGGGCAACTTCTGTTCCGTGGGTTGATGGTTCTCCCTGTCAGAAAATTCCTCCTTATTTGAATCTCTCCTTGTTCCGTTTCCATTCATTATTCCTTGTCCGACTTTCAGGTGCTTTGGAAAACAGCTTGACCCCCCCTTCCTCCTCCTCCTCCTCTCTGGGGCAGCCCCCCCAATCCTGGAAGGCTGCTCTCCTGCCTCCCCTGGTCCTTCTCTCCTTCCCTGGACCAGCCAGGCCCAGTTCCTGCAACCGCTCGTCGTGTGTTTGAGCCTCCAGTCCCCTAAAACCGTCCTGGTTGCTCTTCTCTGCACTTTTTCTAGAGCCTCAACATCTTTTTTTAATATCATGGTGACCAAAGCTGGATGCAGTACTCTAGGTGTGGCCTTACTAAGGCTTTACACGGTAATAGTACCTCGCTTTGCTTTTTCTCACCAACTCTCTGCTGGGCCCTGCACTTTGATTTAGGTATTATTTTCTTGGGAACGATAAAAGAGAAATTTTTTTTTTACTTTTAAGCCAATGCCATGTGGGAACTCCCTGTCTGAAAAACAGGCCAGGAAAAGGGAGGGAGGGAGGTCTGTCCAGTTTTACGGCCTCTCTTGCCACCACTGTTAATTAAGTCGCTTCAGTTGTTAAGTTTGTAACCTGGTCGTTAAGCGAATCCGGCTTCCCCATTGACTTTGCTCATCAGGAGGTCACGTGACATTGCAACCGTCGTAACTGTGAGTCAGGGGCTGTGTCTGAGTTGTGATCACATGACCAGGGGCATGGCGTGGCGGTCGTCATTGTGGGAAACGGCCATAAGTCGCTTTTTTGCAGCACTAAACGGTCACTAAATGGAACTGTTGAGGACTCCCTGTATTAAAACCAACTGTGGAAACTTCAGGGTTGCTTTCAAGACACTGCAATACAGCTGCAGGTGTGATCACCAACAAACCACAACCAACCCGGATTGTTTAGAGAAAGCGATGCCGCGAGTCTCAAATCCAGACAGGACACGGGTTTTTTTTAGAAACCAGGAAGACGGATATTTACGGCTCGGTGTAAACTACATTTCCGGAGTAAAAAACACGGATTTATTTAAGTCCGGGATCGACTCTGTTTCAAGGGGGGAAAAAATATCACATAACTCAAATAAGTCATTTCTTAGTTTAAAAAACCCCCAGACATTTAAGATCGCTTTTGTTTTTTTCCAAAAATTTGCTACAATACAAAATGTGTTTGCGGTTTTTTTTATATATATATAGATCTATTTATATATATATATATATATATATTATATGTATAATAACCAGAAATACTGACTTTACGATAAGACGTGGCCCCCCAACCTGTCCTAAGTTTTTGACGTGTCCTTAAATTGTTTTGTTTTTTTTCTGAGTTTGTCCTCTTTTTTTTTTTTCTTTTTCCCTGGCAGTTCATGGCACATAATGGTTAGAATTGGCACAGTTTCAGAAAAATGGGCGGCCCTTCCAACGTTCACCAGGGATGCCTATCTCTGGGGTTGGGTTTTCTTCCTTTTCTCCCTTCGGGCTGTGAGTCGCTCCTGGCCCGTCTCTCGTTTGCCTGAAAAGAAGTGCGTTCCTCGGAAATTGCAGGGTGGGGCTAGTCCCTTTTTTGTGTAGATTATTTATATGTGTGTATAAATATAAAAATATATTTGATTGCTTTCAGTCTTCCATCAGTAAAACACAAATGTTAGCTATAAGGTCGCCCTCTTCATTGGATGCTTGAATTTTTTTTTTTACAGGTTCACCAATGGAATCCTGTTGGGAAGAGAAAGAAAGAAAAAAAGAAAAGATAAGGAAAGGAGGAAGAGAGAAGGAAGAGAAAAGGAAAAGGCAGGAAAGGGGAAGGGAACGAAACGAAGAAGAAAAGAGAAATGTTATAATGTGCATCATTTCGTCATAATATGTGAGTTTTTTAAAAAGTGCTTCTGGAAATGCCTCTTTATCATGCAGGCTGAGCAGGAAATCCTCCACTTACGGCCATTTGTTTAGTGACCATTTGAAATTATAGCAGAACTGAAAAAAAGGGGGACTTACGGCCATTTTTCACACTTAACGACCATTGCCACATCCCGGCGTCACGTGATTTCCTCCCTTTGGCGACAAGCCAAGTCCAGGGGGAAGCCAGATTCACTTAACAACCGTGTGACCCACTTAGCCACCGCAGTGATTCACTTAAGTGGAGAAGCTCCCTCAGCAACTGTCTCTGTGTGGCCATGGAAATCTTGGGCTCCGTGGGGGTCATAAGTCAAGGACCCCCTGTGTTTATCTGGGGAGCTTTGAAAGCAATTTCATTGATGGGCGGAGAGAGAGAAGAGAAAGGGGAATTGGAAAAGGGAAATTATTAGGAATAATAGAGAATAAAATGATTTCCTGGACCGAATAATTAGCAAACCCTGAAAAATCCACCCTCGTGTCGCTATGAAACATAATGCGGCCCTACACAGAGAACCAAACCGTGGAGAAAAGGCAAATGTAGGTGTCTGTTCATTTCTGGAGCCCCCCTGGGGTCAAAGCTCGTAGCTGTGTGGGTGATGGGGGCCTCGGCCCCAGTTTAACCTACTTCAGGGATGCCCTTCGTTTCCCACCAGTGGCATCCCAAGAAGGCAACCGTCGGGAAGGAAATGTAAACATTTGCAGAGCCAATTAAAATACAATTAAAGTGCAATTAAAATCTGTTAAGAAATTAGAACACCTGCCCAGTAAGCCTGCATCCCATCTGCGTTAAAGAAAAAATAATAATAATCTGAGAATTTAATTTGGAAAGTTAGGTTTTTCATATAATGAAAGAAAGAAAGAAAGAGAAAGGAAGGATGCAAGGATGGAAGAAAGGAAAGAAAGAAAAAGGAGGGATGGATGGATGGAAGAAAGGAAAAGAAAGGAAGGATGCAAGGATGGAAAAATGGAAGAAAGGAAGGATGGATGAAAGAAAGAGAGAGAAAAAGAAAGAAAGAAAGAAAAAAGGACACCCTATTTACCCCCCGTCTGGAGGCATTTTGTGTCACCCCAAAAGTAGAGGTGGCAGGAAAAGATCAAAGTGGGGTGAAATCGCTACCCTTTTTCCTCCCCACCCCCACAAGTAAAAATAAAAATACATCTCGGAGCAGAAAGGGAGCGTGGGCAGAAAATAACCCCCTTGAATAATAGCTGGGCGAGATTTGTCTCTTGCATAAATAGCAATTAACGGGGGGGGGGGGGTGGGGGCTGTAATTAAAATTATAATTAAGGCTTCACGGTGCCAGGGAAAATGTTTTCGGGCGTGGCTGGGGATCCTCTCTCGATCTGGGTCATGCTCATCCCATTTTGCAACCACGCAGGGAGGTTTTCTCGGAGGGACACCAGCAAGGAGCTAAGGCTTCAGCGAATGTGGGATAATAACGGAGTTGGAAGGGACCTCAGAGGTCTTCTAGTCCAACCCCCAGCTCAAGCAGGAGACCCTCGACCATCCCGGAGAGATGGCTGTCCATTCTCTTCTTGAAGGCCTCCAGGGGTGGAGCCCCCACAGCTTCTGGAGAGAAGCCCCTCCACTGAAAGATGGAAATTAGATGAAAGGATGAAGGGATTTGTAAAGTATTTAAGAAAGAGGGGGGACAATAAGATTGTAATTATCTGTTGGAAACAGAGGTCTGAATTTATTCACGTATTCTTTAAATTTAATCTTCCTTCCTTCCTTCTCCTTCCTTTGTTCTCCTTCACCACTTCTCTCCCTCATCCCTTCCTTCTCCCTCTCCTCCCCATCCCTCCTTCCTTCTTTCCCTCCTTCACCACTTCCCCATCCCTTCTTTCTCCTTCTCTCTTCTCCTCCTCCTCTTTTCTGGAAGCCTACCTAGAGGCCTGTTAAATTTCCTTTTTTATCCTCGTCCATGACCCTGACAAACACCGATGCGCACTTTAATGTTGTGTTTCCATTCCCCTCCAGCCCCCGCAGACAAAGGAAGGGGGGGGGGGTCAGTTCACCAAAGGCACAACAGGTTTGTGTCGGCTCTTGGGCATCATTTAGACAGACCTTCTGAAGGATCTAGTCTTACAGGTCTTCCCATAGTGACCAGCTCTGAAGAAGCTTCTTGGACGAGAAGCGAAACATTTTGAAGGAAAAAGCCAAGAAAATCCAGCTGCCTTTGGGGGGGGGAAAGCGCCTGTGGGACATCTCACAAAGTTCCTCAGAGGGTAGAAGAATCCCCGCCCTTTGGAAGACCCGGGGAGCTTCTCAAGGGACACTTCCGTGGTCCCACGAGGGAAGGTTCATCCGATCCCTCGGGACATTTAGGATTCATTTAGTTCTTTCACAGTCAGAAGGACTAGAGAAGAAGGGACTTACCACGGAACGGCTGCGCGGCGTCTGGCTGCCCCTCCAGGAAGTTAAAAACAGAGTTTTGCCGGTCAACACGAGATCTCAAACCATTTTTCCGATACGAAGGCCACGGGGATTAGATGGCGGTCCGAGGAAGACCCCCTGCAGAGGAGGAGGGAAAAAGGGGGGATTTGTACCCTTGGCTGACAAGAAAGGTTGGCTTTAGATTTGCATTTTCCAGATTCACAGCAGCTGATAGTCCTTGACTTGCAGCGGTCTGTTTAGCAATCGTTTGAAGCTACAGCGGCAGTAAAAAAAGTGACTTTGGATTGCTTTTCACATTTAATGACCGTCGCAGTGTCCCTTTTGTGACCCTCTGACAAGCAGTCAATAGGGAAGCCGGGTTCACTTAACAACCATGTGACTAACCTGACAACCGCAGTGATTCACTTAACAACCATGGCAGGAATGGTCATAAAATGGGGCAAAGCTCACTTAACAGCTGCCTCACTTAGCAATGGAAATGTTGGGCGCGACTGTGGTCATAAGTCAAGGACTGCCTGTAGGTTCATGTCTTTGGGTGTCGTTTCAGTACCAGAAGGCTGGACAGCTCCCTTTGAGCCTTTGTCCTTTCCTTCCCAGTGATTGGTTGGCCACGTGCCCCGTTTGATTTTAGGAAGACCAATCAGAGGCTGACTTGCATGGATTTGTTTTGGTGCAGGCTAAGTATAGTATAAATAGATGTTTATTTCCCCACAATTCACAAATCATACAGAGAGAAAAGGGGAAGAGAGGAAGAGAAAGAGAGCGAGGAAGGGGGAAGAGAGGAAGAGAAAGGGAGGCAGCAGAAAGAGGGAGAAAGAGAGGAAGGGGGAAGAGAGGAAGAGAAAGCGGGACAGAGAGAAAGAGGAAAGAGGAAGAGAAACAGAGAAGGAAAGAGGCAGAAAAGAGAGAGAGAGAGAGAGAGATAATAAATGTATATAAGGCATGTTTCCATGTTTTGGTTTGAGGGACAACCTGACAACATGGAATCTAGAAGGGTCCCCACTTTGTCCAAAATGGCCGAGGGGTTGACTGGGTCATGTGACCACAGAGAGGCTGCAACGGTCGTCAGTGTGAAAAATGTTCCCCCCCCCCCCCCCAGTTCTGTGGTGGCTTCAAACGGTCACGAAATGAACGGTGGGAAGTCAAGGATTCTCCGTTAACTCTAGGAGCTGTTAGGGAGGATCTGTCTCCGCCCTCCTTCTCATGCACAAAGGATCTGAGCTGTGGCCCTTTGCTGCTCCTGTGGAATTCACGCCTCCCTGAGACCACCTTCCACCCCAACTCAACTTATTCCGGATTGGGACAGCCCAGGCCAGCCTTGGCCGTGGCATCGGGCCCATCAGCCACAGCCCTCACCTGTTCCCGTTGAAGGAGGTCTTGTAGTCTCCCGGGGAGAGCATCGCCTCCTCGGCATACATCGGGACGGGGCTCCTCACGCACTCATGCGAGCACTGGAGGGTCTCGTTGTAGGCCGTGAAGATGTCCAGGTTGCTGGGCACTCTGGCCGGAGTGAAGTCCGTCAGGTTTTGGCAACTCTCTTCCTGCTGCTTAATTTTCCGCTGGTGGCCACTGCGACGGGCATTGCCCCTCTGCGCACAGCTGGAAGGAGAGCAGAAGAGACCGGCTGAAAAACATCTGGCCTTTTAGTTAGGACGCCTTTTCTTACCCAAGGGAGACTAAGAGAAGAGCAGAAGAGCAACAGAATAACAGAGAACAGCAGAGTTGGAAGGGACCCTGGAGATCTTCTAGCCCAACCCCCTGCTCAACAGGGTTCTCCAACCCGGGCCGACAAATGGGTCAAGCTAGAGCCGTCGAGAAACCAGGATCCTACGAATGCTGGCTTGGTTTGAAGGAAGGAGGCCAATAGCTTCGCGAAAGAGCGCCTGTGTGCGATCGGTTCAGCCTCGCTCAGCACCAAAGTCACAACCTCTGCGATTTTGTGCCCGGCAGAGTTGTGAGAGGCCTGTCTGTTTGCTGGCGCTCCACAGGGGAATTTATCAAAAAAGTGGCATAAAAATACCCGTAAATAATTCATAAGAAAAAAGTAACCTAAATGCCAACCGGTCTTGGCGTGCCTGAGAGACGGCAATTACCTGCAATTCCAAATTTAATTATCGCTTTTTAGTACCTGAGAAACACCCATCGCCACAGAGCGAGATCCTTGGGTTACAGGTACATTTTATGCGCCTATTTATTTATCTTCCCTAATCCAATCTCCAGTTTCAAATGACGGCCGTTGTAATTAAGGGGAAATTACCGATGCTAAGTACCGTGTCCGTGTAAGCAACGGCACCAAGTTTAATACGGTGCTTGTTGAGATGATTTCGTTTGCATGGCACATCGCCCAATTTGTCAGAAAGGCAGCCATGTCTCTCGCCTCGGTGGGGGACAGGACTGTTTCCTCCTTTGGTTCCCCATGGCCCTGGCTTTCCTGGGGGCTCCTCTTTGACAGATGGAGCCCCCCCCCCCACACACACACCCCTGGCATTCGACCCCTCCTGGATTTTGGACCAAGAAGATGGAGTTTAGCATCCGTGCAACTCTGGAGAAGTTCAAACTTTTTAAAGAGCTTGTTGGCTGTAGACCAGCAGGAAAGATCTGGAGATGTCCCTCTCTTTCTCTTCTCCTGGTGGCACCCTTTCCCCCGCCCCCAGATCCATCCGGAGTCCAGAAAAGAGCAACAAAGGTGATTAGGGGACTGGAAGCAAAGACACAGGATGAACACTTGCAGGAACTGGATATATCTAGCCTAACAAAGAGGAGGACCCAGGGTGACATGGTAGCAGCCTTCCAAAATTGGTGAGGTTGTCACAGACAAGAGCGAGGTCCGCCTTTCGTCCAAAGCAGCTGAGGGCAGGAGAAGAAGTAACGGGTGGAAACCTGCCAAGGAGAGAGCCAACCTGGAACTAAGGAGAAATCTTCTCTTAGTGCAGACAATTTATCAGGGGAGCCGTTTGCCTCCAGAAGGTGTGGGTGCTTCGTGGCTGGAGGTTTTCCAGGAAAGATGTTCAGCCAGTTGTCCTGAGCGATGTAGGATCTCCTGTGTCCGACTAGAAGACCTCTAAGTTCCCTTCCAACCCTCTTATTCTTTTAAGCCTCCATTGAAGATCCCTTCCAGCCCTACAATTCTATTTGCAAATGATCCTACGACCTCATTCTGTTTGCTTTAAAACGAAAAGAGATTAAACTTCTTGTTTTTTCTCTCCCCGGTTAGTTTGCTTTAATTTGCAGCCAAATCATTTTGAGGTTGATTTGTGTAACTCAAGTGCGGCGATGACAGAAAGTCACAGCTATTAGGAGCTGTTCAGCAGATCTGAAGCTCCTCTTGAAGGGGAATGATGAACTCGCTGAGAAAAACTGTGTACTTTTCCCCCCCTTTTTGGAGAAAGTAGATAAATGAGCCATACAGCAGGGATGTCGAGGGTTTTTGAAATCTTTTTTGAAATCGGATGAAGAGACAAGAAATTCAAGATAACCGCACAGTCTCCCTGCTTCGGTAGTTCAGAAAGAAAAAAAATGGATTTCCAGTGGTTTTATTTTTTTTGATTAGGGGTTGCAGTTCCCGTCTATAAAGCAGCTCAATGATGCAGAAGAACCTGGGAAGCAATTCAGAGCCACGGCCAATCCGGGTTTATTTTGCTGCCTGACCTGCATTGATGGTCAAACCATACAGGTGGTTTTTGACTTAGGATCACAATCGAACCTAAAATTATCAATGCTAAGCGAGGCAGTTGTGGAGGGAGTTTTGCTCCGTCGTGCGACCTGTTTTTGCCACAGTTGTTAAGTGAATCACTGCAGTTGTTCAGTTAGGAATACGGTCGGTAAGTGAATCCAGCTCCCCCACTGATTTGGCTGATTAGAAGGTCGGCAAAGGGGACCCCGCGACCATCGTAATATGAGTCCGTTGCCTAGCCTCCAAATGCCGCAGCGGTTGTTAAGTATGAAAAACAGTCCTGGATCGCTTTTTTCAGTGCCGGGGCCCCTTCCGAGTCAGTGGGGGTAGGGGTACTCGAGTCCTCCTTGAGGCTCCTCAAGCATGAGGGACACTTTGTCGGGGCCTTGCCGTGACCCTTCCTGAAGATCCATTGGTGGTGGGTCCAGCCTTCTGAGGACCTCCCGGCCGATTGGCGGTGCCTGGATCTCAGCAGGCTCCCTGTGTTTTTTGAGAGCTTCTCAAGCAACCCTAGGAATGAATCTCCGTCCTCGTCTTCTCCAAACCCGGAGCATTTGAGGAGCAGACCTGGAGACCAGGGAGATGTGGGAACACAGCTGCAGGAAACTGCACTCTCCCCTCCTCCTCCTCCTCCTCCTCCTCCTCCTCCTCCTCTCCCCGGCCTCCGATCCTGGCCATCGCCTCCCAGGGGTTCTCGCCGTAAGATGAAAACGAGGTGAGCCGATCTCAAAGTAGGTTGGATTCACTAGGAAACGAGGTGACGGCAGGAGAGCCTCGAGCTAAGGCATAACCTAGTTTAGGCCACCCAGGAGCCCATCCGCCAGGAGAAAAGGAGCTAATTAAGCCAGGCGAGAGCTCAGAAGAGAGAGGAAGGCGGGCAGAGATTTCCTGGCCGACGGGCGGGAGGAGGACATCACTCTGCACCGCCTGCAGGTCTGATCCTCACACACACACACACACACACACACACACACACACACACACCTCGGGGTCATGTGACCTTGCCACTTCCTGACATCAGTAGGGAAGCCAGGTTCATTTAAGAACTGTCTCATTAACTCCGCCCCTGCCACCGCGATTCATTTAGCGACTGTGGCGAGACAGGTCTTAAATGGGGGAAAAGCTCCCTTGAACCACTGTCTTGCTTAGCAAACGGAACTTTTGCGCTCGGTTGTGGTCCCACCTCGAGGACCGCTGGAAACAGGCCACCGGTTTGGCCGTTGCCCCCCCCCCAAACACAGCCCACCCACAATGGGGGGTCGAACCTCCTTACCAATTTTTTAAGACGAGGGTCGTGATCAGCGCGGCGATGACCATGATGAGCGAGACGGTGATGGTGATAATCTGATGGAGCGCCAGGCCTGGGAAAAGAGGGGAAAAAAGAAACCCATGAAGCTGGGATGGAGAGAGAGATCCTGGGCGTCGCTTGGGTGGGTCAGCTCTGGACCCCAAACTCGGGCTGCCCCCCTTGGGGTCCAAGCATCGGCCAGTGAGAAGATCTCAGAAACATCTAGAGGAACCGAGAGAAGAGGATTTGGAGAGCGGGATTGAACGGGGGGTCCCTGGAGGCCTTTCTTGAAGACCTTTCAGGACCCAACTAGGGAACAGAATCAGGGATAGAGGGGAGTGGGGTTGGCAGAGAGGAGGAGGAGGAGGAGGGGGATCCTCGTGGGCTCCTTGGGGCTCTCTGAGCTGGGTGGTTTTCTTGCCAAGGTTTAGAGCTACTAACGACCCAACCACCTCTGTGGTTAAACAAATGGTGCCAATTTATAAAATATCTTAAAATACGAATAGCCAACCTTCCAAAGGCCAGCCCTCTCACAGAATACTCTTCTCTTCATTTCATCTTTAAAAAGCCAGCAAGCTGTCAAATGTAAATAAACCTTATCTTTCCCAAAGCGGCAAAGTTGCTCTAGTCAAATCCCATCTAATCCTCCAATCCCAAAGTTGATTCTCCTCTTTAGCCTGTAATGAAATGTCACCATGGCCTGAAATTTAGTCATATTACAGTCTCTAAACCAAGAAGTCCGTTTCTCTCAGTCTCTCTCTCTCTCTCCCTCCTCCAACTAGGTCTGTCAACTTCACATCAAATTCGAATGCCAACTTCTCATCCATTTCCTACATTTTACTGATTAAGGACCGGCGAGTTTCTCTCAGAACAACCGACGCCACAACATTTGCTTTTCTGAGGCTGAAATGTGGGGGAGTCTCAGCTTTTCCAGGTAAAACTCACACCGAATTAAGTTTGGAGCACCACAGTCTGGGTTGGCCAGAAATTACTGGCCCTCCCGGGAAAGAACAAGGCCCAGCTCAAGAATACATGTGTCTTGAAAATAGCAACAAAGCCCGCGATCAATACAAATCCAATTTACTTTCATGTCTGCATTACAGTACAAGGCTCTGGCCTACGAGGTTTCCATTTCTTCCAAAATAACCCCCTGGAACCCACCGTGTCTTCCAATGTTGACGGTTTTGCACCCGGCCTCCTCTCTTTTATAGGGGTTTTTAACCCCAATCTCTCCACTGGCTCTTAGAAAGGCCCCCCGCCCAAAATGTTTTCAAAATGCCATTTTCCCACAATGTGCTTGTGTGTAATGACGGTGACCCCAATTATGCATGCAGCTCAGAGAAACAAATGTGTTTATAGGAAGGTCCTTCCTCCCCCCCCGTCCCTCCCTTCCTTGAAGCGGTCGGCAGGTGTACAATAGTCCCAATTCAGCCCCAGGGAGGTGATCTGAGCCTCTGGTGGCATCTCCCAGCCTCGACGGAGAGCCGAGGAGCCCATTTCCAGCTCCACCAGGCTGATGTGTCATGACAGAGTCCGTGATTACCCTGCCAACTTTTCCCTCCGTTTGCGGCCGGAGACGTCCCTGGCAGTGGCTGTTTATGTCCATTAAGCCCCCTTCAGTTCAAGAGAGCGCGCCCTTCGCTGCCAGACTCATGCAGCCGGTTGCGGCAATCTGAGGCTCAGGGAAGGATCCGTCCGTGGCAAATGTGAGGCGCTTTGATTTCTAGGTGGAAACCGGCCACTTCAGCAGGCTAGAATTATTTCCTCCGAAGATCATGGGGACGTGGCTCCTTCTTGCTCCTGCCGCCCCCTCCCCCCCCGGGAGTTTCCCCAAGGAGAAGCATTTGGGGGATCTTCTGATGCCGAGGGAGAGAGGAAGGAAGGAAAAATGATATTAAAGGAGGAAACGAGGGAGGGAGGGAAGAAAGAAGAACATGAAAAAAGGGAAGAAAGGGAAGAGAGGGAGAGGGAGAAAAGGGGGAAGGGAGAAAAGGAAGGAAGAAGAGAGAGAGGGATGAAAAAGGACATTAAAGGAGGGAAAGAGAGAGGAAGGAAGGAAAGAAGAAAGGAAGGAAAGAAAGAAAGGAAAAAGAAAAGGAAGAAGGGAGGGAGGGAAGGGAGGAAGTGTTATTAACTGCAATGATTCACTTAACGAATCTGGCAAGTAAGGTCGTAAAATGGGACAAAATTCACTTAACAACTGTCTCGCTTAGCCACAACAATTTTGGGGCTCAATTGTGGTCGTAAGTCAAGGACTACCTGCAACTTTGCACAATGCAATGAATTGCATCCCAATTACTTTGGACTCCCAAGCGTTTGCCTCCTCCGGGTGGCCCTCCCTGGCCTCGGGGGAGAGTCGGGTGGTCTCGCGTCTCCGGCTTGAGTACGGATTGGACTAGGAGACCCCCAAGGTCCCTTCTGGGCCTAGGAGGCTATGCTCTTGTGCCAATTTTGTAGCCAAGAGGTATGTGTGTCACCACCAAGGTCAGGTCCTAGCGAAAGGAGATGCTTCCACCACCCGCCCGTCCTCCGAATATCACCAGCTGATTCACGAAAACGTCTTCAGAGTTGAACACAACATGTTCTGGAACACAATGACAGGGTCCCAGGTGGTTAACTTGGGCTTAAATGTTTCATGTGATAGGGACAGCATCTGTTCGGGGCCATCTGTTGTCCTCAGATACTTCACTGGAAAAGGGAACAGCAGAAACTTATTTTCGAGTTTTGAGCTTCCAAGTCTCATGGATTATTGCAGAGGTCTCCAGACGTGGCCACTTGTGGACTTCAGCTCCCAGAATTGAAGTCCACACGTCTTAAAGTGTCCACGTTTGGAGACCGCTGGATTACAGCAACATGCTAGAAGAGTTTGAAGAACATCTTGGAGAACATCTAATCCACCTTCCTGCTCTACCCTGATGACATCCCTGAGAACGACCCTCCAGCCTCCGTGGAAGCACCTGAAGCCAACAAGAACCGTCTTCTGGTAGGGAAACCTGTCCTGAAGCCCAACCAACATCTGTCTCCTTGTCCTTTCTTTCCTCTCCTCTCCTCTGGAGCTTCTCGAAACCACTTTGTTCCACCTTCTCCATGACATCCTTCAGCCACATCGGTCACGCCTCCCTGAAGTCTTCTCTCCTCCAGGCTAAAGATGTCCAGTGTTTGTCTTTCTTCCAGAATCAAACCAGGTGACCCTCAAAACTAGCCGAGCTCGGGAATGAATCTTAAGCTCTAAAAGGGCCACTCAACAAAACTCGCACAACTGGCGATTCGAGGACACCATTCCTGCCCAGAAATCCCCCACACCAAGCCAAGGGCACCTTTCTTTGTGTGAGTCACACCAGCAGCTGCTGCCAAGCTTCCTGTCCAATGATTATAATCTTGTTGTCCTTCAACTTGTTTTGTTGACGCTGATAAACTTGAAGGAACCACTTGAAGGTGCAGCGGGAAGGAAATGTGGTCAGAAGAAGTGTCCTTCAAGGAAGCCGCCGAGAGACAGAGACGCTTTGGGAGATGGGAGGAGATTCAGGGGGGTTTTGAAAGCATCCCAAGAGCACCAAGGACAGGCTGTGAAGTCCAGTCTGAAAGGACCCGTGTGAGCAGTGGGTGAGTGGGCGAAAGTGAGGGACTAGGGCTGACACGATAGCAGCCTTCTAATCCTTGAGGGGCTCTCGTGAGAAAGAGGGGGGTCCTCCAAGGCCCCAGAAGGAGGACAAGGAACCACGATGGAAACTAACCAAGGGGAGAAGCAAACCTAGAACGAAGGAGGAGTTTTCCGGCAGGGAAGAGAATTAGCCAACGGGACAGCTTTCCCTCAGAAGCTGTGGGGGCTCCATCAATGGAGGTGGACGACCGTTTGACCAGGACGGAATAATAAGGTCTCCTGCTTCAACGGCGGGTTGGACTAAAAGACCTCCAGGAGTCCTTTCCAAGAGCGTTATTCTGTTCTCTTTGATACTGGCTGGAGATCTGGAGAGATGCGTCATCTTCTGGACCTTCTCCAGAACTAATCATAGTGGACATCTATCTATCTTTATCTATCTATCTATCTATCTATCTATCTATCTATCTATCTATCTATCTATCCATCCATCTATCTATCATCTATCTATCATCTATCCATTCTATCTATCTATCTATCTATCTATCTATCTATCTATCCATCCATCTATCCATCTATCCATCCATCCATCTATATCATCTGTCTCTCTGTCTCTCTCTATCCCACTGTCTGTCTGTCTATCTACCATCTGCCTCTCTCCCCCCCTGCTCACATCTCTCTATGTACATAAATCTGATCCAAAAAGCTTTGCGCCCAGCAGAGAGCCGCAGAAGGCCAGAGCCGTGGAAGACGCCGCCCTCACCGCTTCCCGGCCGCCCAGGATCCGCAGCAGAGACCTCTAATGTGGCTTGGCAGCTGCCTCCGGCCTGGCGTTCCTGGGAGACCCCCTGCTAACCATCCGTTTAGAAGCCTTTCTGGGCGGATTAGACCCTCCGTGCCGGGACAGGAGTTGGGGGCTTTGGCCTCCTCGCCAGGACGACAATCCGCCGGCAGCGGTTCACGAGGCCTTCGGCAAAGGGAGAAGCGCGCTAGATGCTGCCCAGGACCAAGCAGGGAGGAAGGCCGGAGAGAAGTCAAGTCTTCCCCAAGGAGCCTTCCTTCCTTCCTTCCTTTCTCTCTCTCTCTCTCTCTATTTTGGGCTTCTCAGCTCCACGTCCCCCTTAGCAACGGTCTTTGAGGCCAGCCAGGATTGCTGAGTGCAGACTTCACTTTTTTATTACTTTAATTGAACATCACGCCACGCTCGGCCAGCCAAACGCCTCCATCCGATGCCAGGCCCAGGAGGGACAGCCTGTTCCCCTTTGGCTGGGCCTCCCCGGCACTGGGCTGCGGGTCTGGGGTCTCTGCAGCCGGAGGGGTGGGATGGGGAGGGTTCACACACACACACACACACACACACACACACAGCCTTTACATCTGTTGGGTCATGAAACATCTGCAAGGAAACCCCCCACCTCAGGGACCCCCCCAGTTCAGCCCCCCCAAGCTCCAAATCTTCTATCAAACTCTTTTGT